TTCAGATACGTTGTATTGATACTTTTACCAAATATCTTTTATGAGTTAACATTAGGAGGGTAAAAGGTAGGTATATTGTTTTAAATTAATACATTGAATATTACGCTATAATATACATTTGTTTATAATTCTCGACAGGTAGCTTAAAAGTCTGAGCACATGAAATATAGTTTTGATAAAGTGCGTAACGAGTTCATAAACCATTGGCGTTCCATTGTTCTATAAAACGGGTGAAATGAGATCTTAGAATGGTATACATYGATGATGATATTATTTCAGTATACTATTTAATATGTTTAATAGTGTTTCATTTTAAGCCAAAATACAAAAATCTACGAATAACAATAGTCGTTTATATTCATATCAAATATGTTTTTTTTTTCAGTGTGCGACAGTATTATATTGGAGTTTAAAATTATGATTTTCTAAGCTGTAAAAAAAATAATAATTTCCATATAATAATATTATAAATTGAAAATGGGCACACATGTGTATATTTTAATTAAATTTAAATATACAAATTATTATCCACAAGGATATAGACTTAAAATAATTTTAAAAAAGTAGGAAATTAGATACACAATGTTTGTGGGATATTTGGTTCATATTATTTTGTTATTTCAAGTAGTAATTAAAACTTATGAGAAACAGAGAGTTGATTTTTAAATATTATATATGAATATAAAAAATGTTATAAATATTGAACTACAAAATAATTTGTGGTTTGTATAAAACATATTTTTCGATGACTTTGAATATAAAGAACATTTTMACTTTAAGCTCCTCCTCCCATAACAACAAGATCTGATTGGTTACAAACACCATCCTAAATATTGGAATTCAAAGCATTTAAGCTACTTTTAAAAACTAAAACTAAAAATTAAAAATTAAGTCTAAGTTCTACACCTGTTAGTGTAGGTTCTAGGTATAGTTATGAATGCTCTTTATTAATTTGATATATAATAACTAAATTTCTGCACACTAAAAATATTGCAAACATTTCAAAAAAAAAACATCTTTACGTTAAAATATATAATTTTGGAAAAAATACAGATCTTTGTTCTGTATTCGACTTCACTGACTAAAACAATGCAGATACTGTGTATATTTAAACTTCCAAAATCAAATAAAACAGCTATAATACACGAGGATGTAGAAGTATGTATTGTATATATCAATTTCACCTTATATGAAATGTAAATTGTACGTATATAATGTACATAATAAACAAGGCACAAATAATATGTGTTAATAAAACATTTATGTTCAGTACAAATAGTAAAACATACCCGAGAAGAATTGAAAAGCGCTWAAGTTGAATTTATAAATTGTGTTGATGGTAATATTGAACATTTTTTTTATTTATTTATTCAAATTATTGAAAAATAAAWAATAATTTGAATAAAATGTTTCGAATTCCGTTTGGATTTAAAATTATGAAATCGTTATAGTAGATAGATATTATGTACGTTGTAGCTTTAATGTTTTACAATTTTCAATTTTGTAGGTAGATACTACAGAATCATGGGGAAAAATCAGTGTTGGGAAGGAACTCGTTCCAAAAGGAACGCATTCCTCTAACGAGTTCTTTTTGTAGGAACGAAGCTTGGARCTGTTTCCTTTAAAAATAAAGGAAAAAGAAAGTGAAAGAAAAACACAGTTCCTTGACATTTTAAAACAGTTTTTTTGTTTTTAMGCGTTAACTCATAAGAAGGTATTTTTAGTTGATTCATGACTAATGACATGAACGAYGGACMCCTGTCCCCTACACAGCCAATATTTTAGAAAGTTAGAATTAGAAATGTATCATAAATTCATAATTTATAATATAATATTAATATAGTRATATGTGTTGTATTAAATATTATTTAATTTATTATCGGCATATTGACGCCGATAGAATATTATCGTCATAATAATAATGTTAAGTGTTAAAGATATAAATAGATTTTTGTGTTTTCTGAATGATTATTACTTATTTGTTATTTCTATGTTGTATGTATWCATTATCACATACCTATTAGTTATTACATAATAATATATTTTAATATTAGATATTACGTAACATATTTGGTCGCGTTGACAAAAGTTGTCACATGCAGTTGTTATAGTTGCCAGGTTGCCTGCTGTTAATAATTTAATATTACAGGCTATTTAAGTCCGTGGACTCCAATAGGTACTTTTAGATAAGGGTTACCGTCACTATGAATTTGATTTTGATTTTTTATTATATACAACAATATTAAAAGCCTTTTTAGAATTTAACACACCTCTTCCGTCTAGTGCTCCGGTAGAGCGACTTTTCTCGACAGGTTCCAATGTGATGACTCAAAAAAGGCACAAATTGAGTGACTCGCTATTTGAAAAATTAGTGTTACTAAAACAAAACAAAGTGTAAAACTGTAAAGATTAAATAGTTTAATAACTATTTGTATTCATAAT